TTGGAGATGCAAGCTATATTCTTGGGATCAAGGTTATGCGAGATCGGGTTAAAAAGAAAATAGGCTTGTCTCAAGAGTCTTACATTGATAAAGTTCTGACCAGGTTTGGAATGAAAAACTCTAAGAAAGGGTTTTTACCATTTAGACATGGATTGGCTCTTTCTAATGACCAGTCTCCCAAGACTGATAAGGAAATTGAGCAAATGAGGCGGGTACCATATGCTTCGGCAGTTGGTAGTCTCATGTATGCCATGGTCTATACCAGACCAGACATCTACTACTCTGTAGGGATTGTTAGTACATATCAGTCCAATCTAGACTTGATCATTGGTCAGTTGTGAAGAATATCTTAAAATACCTTAGAAGAACTAAGAATCTCATGCTCGTTTATGGAGGTGATGATCTAGTTCCAGTCAAATATACGGATTCTGATTTTCAATCAAATCCAGATGCCAGGAGATCTACATCTGGATATGTGTTCAAGTTCAATGGAGGGACAGTTAGTTGGAATAGTGTCAAGCAGGGTTGTACTGCTGACTCAACCATGGAAGCAGAATACATTGCAGCCTCTGAGGTAGCAAAAGAAGTTGTTTGGTTTAGAAACTTTCTAATTGAACTGGAGGTTGTGGAGCATATAGATTGGCCTATGACGCTTCATTGCAACAATAGTGCGGCTATAGCCCAAATAAAGGACCCAAAATTTCATAAAGGAACAAGACACATTCAGAGGAAACAACATGTGGTTCGTAATATAGTAAAGCGAGGAGATATACTTGTAGCCAAGATTGCATCAGAACATAACCTTGCTGATCCATTCACAAAGGCTTTACCGATCAAGATGTTTGATCGTCATATGGAGAACATGGGAGTTAGATGTGATTCGAATTGGTTAGAAGTGCAAGTGGGAGCTGTTGGGATATGTGTGCCCTAGCATAGCAAATTCTTATTTTGGATTGTAAAAGTCATAGTTCCTTATCTGAATATTATTATTAAAGCATTATACAATTGGTGAATCGAATGTATTATTTTTCGATACATTATGGAATTGATTGTGTCCCCTTAATAACAAGATAAATTTATATATGTATGTAATGGCAATTAATACTAATTTATAAATTAGTAATCATAAATGGTTCAAAGTCGATAATTATAAATGGACATTTAATTAGTTAAGACTTGAACCGAGTCCACGATAGATTGAGATATATTGCGAGAGCTGTCGTATGCAATTGCTTTTTATCACGGTCATGGTTTTTGACTCTCAAGCATGAGAGTAGTATAGACTATTTTATTAATTAATAATTACTTTGATTTGTTCGGCGGATACCTCGTGATCCTTAGATCGGCACTTTGGGTAGTTATGTAATTAATAGTTAGAGGTCTATATTCTTAATATTTGCATCAGTGCTTTTTGTACTTATTTTGTTTTGATTATGGTTGATCACAAATTAAATTCGAAGGCCTTCGTATGTTTTAGACAAATGTTTTCTATATATATTTATTTAGTAAATTATTATTTTTGTCAAATAAATATTTTATTGTGATCAAGCCAGAAATAATCAAAGATAACAAAATAATTATATTAATTATGTTATCGGATTGATGGCTTTAATTATCCGATAAATAATTATGTATAGAGGGGTCAAAGTGCAACATTGACTTAGAGGTTATTTACTATTTAATTGGAGTGCAATTAATTTCTTTTAGTGGAGTAGAAATTAATTTATGAATTAATTGAATTGGGTCCATGGTTTAATGGACCGGATCAATTATTAATTTATAGGAGCCAAGAAAATAGTAAGCCCAAAGGATTCTCACCAGTAGCCCAAGTTGATATTGGAGTCCTATTAGAATTGAGAAATTTGATTTAGAGATTGAGAATGATTTGTTGTTTCCTTATTCTTATTTTTATTTTTCCTATATATACATGGGTCCATGTATATTTTAAGGGTGACTTTTAGAACAAGAAAAAGGAATACACTTTCTCTCTCTAGATTTTAGGGTTTGTTTTCTCTTTTTAAGAAGGCTACCACAAGCCTTGATTCCAAGATCATTCATTAAGGCATATTGGTGATTCCTAAAGGGAAGATCATAATCAAGAAGAAGGAGAAAGGATCTTGCTAAAGTAATCTACAATAAGTGAGAACATTTACTTTAGAGGAAAGATTAAAAGATTTACTCAGACCTTTGATGTAAGAATTCAATCTGTTTATTGAATGATACACCATCTTTTATATGTTTTTGTATAAAACTTGTCTCTATGTGATGAATCAAGATCTGTGATTGTAAATCTCTCAAAAGTTATAAAAACTTGCACGTTTCCCAACATGTGCCTCTATAGAACAAGTTGAAGAACATAAGAATTATAGACCTTACGACAAATTTAACCAAAGTTTGGGGTATAGTTTTTATGGATTTTGTAACAACCTGAACTCGTGGGACCGAACCGTTTAACCGGGTCCTTACCCGAACCCGAGGTCAACTAAGGGCAATCTCGTCCTTTCTTATGGTCGCTGGGAATACACAGATCGTTCAAGGGTCCAAAGCCTTTCTAAAACTAGCTTAGAAGGAGAAGTTAAAATAGAGGTTAAAAGGCAAGGTCAACTGGCTGATGGCCTTTTGTCACCTGGCTGAAAGTTCATAATCAGCCGGCTGATCCACAGGGTCGGTCGATCAGTGGGCTGAAACAATCCCCAAAAATTTATGCTCTCGGGACTTTTACAAAATGGACTGTTAGCCGGCTGAAGATGGGGTGTCGGCCGACTGATGATAGAGTTTCGGTCGACCGATGGTGAAGTTCGGCCGGTAGAAACAAGCTAGGTTTTCCATCAGTTAGCTCTTTGGAATACTACGAAATAGTCTGTCAGTCGGATGACATGCCTTGGAATGCTATTATGTGCAGCCTGAAGGTCCAAAATTCTGGGCTTTTTGTGAGCCAAACTACACCAAACCTGATACACGACCAAAATTCCAAATTCATGGCAATAATGCACAACGTTCTACAATTATAAACATCAAAGATTACATAAAACATATATATATGTATGTCAATATTTCCCATTCATTACAGCATGCCCACATATTTATGAATTTACATCAAACTACTGTTTAGTGCTATATTTACAGTATTTACAGTACATGGCAATGCTATACAAAATGGATACATTCTCAAAATGAGGTTCTACAAAAAAATGAGTATAAGTGCACAAAAGTAGCAAAAGAACTTCAAATCTTTGAACTAAGTTTGTGGTGGAATGTCGTCCGCCACTTCTTTCCCATACCCTGAAAAACGTTAATAATAAAGGGATGAACAAAATGCTCAGTAGGAAGTGTCTAAGACACACTTTTTATGACCCTGTGAATCCACGCCAAAGAATAGGTAAAAGTAAGTGGGGTCATGCCATAGGGAATGCACATCAACAACCAAAATGTTAAGTGTAAATAAATGTCATCCAATTACATCTACACCACTTACGCAATGAAGTGCAATGCCATGCCAATGTCGTTCCCCATTTCCGAAATAATTCGTTTCACCTTCCAAACCGTTAGTATGACCCGACCTAAGGTGCCTCCAAGGCATCACGAGAGGACGATTGGCTAACCATCCACGACCACAAGACACCTCCAAGGCGTTGTATCCGGCCTAGCTAGCTCAACCACACTAAGGTCTCTTCCTAAGTCCCTTTAGACCACACTAACACCACGGGCCACTAGGCGCCTCTTAGGCGTCCAGTTTTCGTAACACTTTAAAAAAAAAAACTTTCCCTAAAAACAATTCCATTTGTTTATAAACAAACTTTTCCCTTTTCTTTCCCCAATGAATATATGAATGCATCATGCTCCCAAATGCTAAATTCAACAACTAAATCCCATACATTACATTTACATCATAATCGCACTATTAAGCGAAATCCTAACATTTATTTTCATAATTTCAACATCACATTTCTTCACAATTAAAAATCATGGGACATCTAAAATGTTAATACTAAGCATGTATATTCACCATCAAGTATATAATCATAATCATAGGTTCAATTAACACATATAATACATCCATCACCTTATTTATATACAATCACAATAACATAGGCAAAATTGCTAAAACTAAACATGCTTAGAATCAAATTAAAGGGAAAACTCACAAAGGATCAAAGAAAACATCAATTAGAGCACCCCTACCTCTAAATTGAAGAAAAGCCCCAAATTTACACCCCAAGCCCTAGAAATTCGAAATCCCCAAAGGTGGCCGAACAGAGATTGGCTCCGATCAAAACGACGGCCTCAAGGAGCTTTCCGACTTGTCGCAAACAACACCAAAAATCTCTCAAAGATGAGAAAGAAATTAAGTCTTGAAACTTGAAGGAAAAAGAAAGAAGAAGAAGAGAAATGAGAAGGGGAGAGAGATTTACGTAGAGAGAGAAAGATTGAAGGCCAAAATGGCCTTATGGCCACAAGAAAAACAATGATGGGTCCCACACTTTAATAAAAATCTTTTTTCCCTTTTTAATTTCCACCACACATATATATATATTTACAATTTAACTACAACCACTTAACAACATAAATCCACATAAATGCACTAACTAAACATGCATGAAATGAAATGGACTCGTGACGCAACCCTCGTACACAACAATTTTGGTAATGGATCCCACTCAAACTCTCCGGTCTGAAAAATGAAAAAATATCGAAATGGCTACCGATACATTTCTAAGAGTCATAGACTCGAAGAAATGTCCCAAACAACTCTCTGACACACCCAGCACACCCCACGATGTCTGGCGCGCAAAACATGAAAAGACGAAAATACCATCGAAAATCAAAAAATTCCAGAAATTGAAAAATGACAAAATTCAAGAATATTACAGATTCTAACCCAATAGGTGAAATAACAATTAAGCATGCATTGCGATGATTTGTTTCAGGGGCTAGCTAGTGCACTTTGGCAATGTAGATTTTGGAATGTGTTTGTTTCAAAGGTAAACCATGCTAGGACAGTTCCCTTTGGGGACCTTCGATAAAATTGGTACGATATTGTAGAGAAGATTATCACGGCCCTACGCAAGGATGACATGCACAAATCGAGAAATGGTCCAAAATTTTTGTTGTTTATTTACGGAGAAAAAAATTTGTACTTACCGAAAAAAAACCATGGTAGGACAGAAATATTTTCTTTGGAATATAGATATAGTTCATTGGGTGGAGGGAAAAATGTACATTTTTGAAGTCATTTCAGGTTCTACAAAGAAGGCATTAGTAAAAAAGAGAGAACAAAATTTTCAAAGACAATGTAACTGATGGTGGCTTTCCATGCTCACATAGTAAATACCCTCAATTGAGGTGCCCAAAATAGCAGAAGAAAGCTAATATGCAAAATTACAAAGACTTTTCACAAAAATTGGCATTCATTTCTTCGAATACACTTGCACATTTCCATAAATTTCCCATGAATTTGTATTCTTTCAAGTCATTCGGTAATGAGGTTCATAATAACCCATGTATCTATTAAGTTCTTAGCATTTTCACCTTCCACACACATGACTTACTAACTCATGTATCTATAAGCCATTTTATTCTTTTACTAGATTTAATTTTTTTTTAAAATCATTTTTATCACTCTACGCAAATCAACTTCCTTCAGGTTAAAATTATTTAATTTAACTGAAAATCATAGGGGGACTTTATAAGTCTTTCGATTTTTTTTTAGGGTCTCTACCTTAGTTACTAGGGAAACAAAAATCTGAATTAACACATCTATTTGCGTATTGAATTATGATCGGCCCTAACCATATAACCCCTTACCAAGTATAACATGAGTTTGGACCACTAGATTTGCATGCCTCAATCTGCCATAGTAATAACTATGTCAATCAGTAAGTTTGATTAGATTATATTAGCCATTTATTTGAATACCCATCTTCAGCAAAATTCTAACATTAAGCTTAATCTGGAAATCCGTGAGAAACAAAGAAACTGGTGGGTGAGAAGTAAAATGGAAACAACATAGTACTAATGGTTAACCAAGTTTGGAGAGTCCTGTTTCAACAATTGGATAGTTCAAGGAGGTTTTTTTTTTGGGTAGGGTTATTGTGCCAAAAATTGAAAGTAGAGACATGTTTTATGTAATTTGCCCAAGAATTTACCACAACCCAAAAGATATTTCTACTTTAAATTGCTAAAAATAAATATATAGGAGTATTTCTATAGGAATTTACATGAAAGTACTCTGTATTTCCTTTCTTGTTTTAGAGAAAACCTAGCAATTTCAACTTTCATAACCAAATATTCAAAAAGGTAGTATTCTATTGAGGCCCACTTGGATAATGTGGAAGGTTTGAACATGAGATGATCTTGATTAATAAATGGAGAGTTATGGGTAATGTTATGGTGATGCTTATGTAACTGCCTAAAATTGCAGCTTCATATCGATCACTAACATACTTCATTTTTCATTCAAAGACTCATTAATGCCAAAAGGGCTTCGAGCCATTATTTCTCTTGTGGGTGGACTAGATCTTTGTTAATGAAGTCATTATTTAGTACTCCAATCAATCATTCATAAATGATAGACCAACATTAGTAATCCATGGAGCAAATTGAATATGCTAAAAGTTGTACTAAAATTACAATAAATTCAGTTATATATATATATATATATAACGCCTCCACCAATGCTCAAACACTCAATCTCACCAAACAACAAAATCAAGTTAGATTTAATTTTTTTATCAGGTCTCTCCATGTTAACTTTGGTCAATTTTTTTGTCTTTAACAATCTATGCAAAATAATTTTTACCAACGGACCAGTGACGTAGCGGTATCATATCCCTACTTCGCAAATGTAGGGTTTTTATTTAAGTTTCAGTGAAGGCATGTGTGAAGTCGTTCTATGTTTCTTTTAATTATATCATCCTGGTTGATTTATTTTGAACCATCAGAATTCGTACAGTCCCGTATGAGCTATTCGATTTACCGAATCTAATATAACATAAGCATTAAAGTATTTCTTGCCGGGACCATCATGTGGTCCCGACCAATGCAAATAAATGTATCACCTTTATTCAACTTTTTGATTACATCAATTAATAATTGCAAAAAAAAAAAAAAAAAAGGTAAATCAACTAGTTGATAAACATTTCAGTTAATTTCGTATGAAATTCTTCCCAACTTTTGATGAACTGAATATGAACTTTCCACGCATATGAGAGCTATCTTAATCTCCATGCGAGACATTTAGAGAGACTGGTTGGTGAGAAGCAAAATGGAAAGAACTTGGATATAGAACATACATAAACCACAAAAACTTGTAGGTGATACATATTGTCTTTCCCTTTCAGCCATGCTAATTACGAAGATTAGTAATCCATGGAGCAAATTAAATATGCTACAAGTCGTACTAAAATTACAAGACATTCATTACAGAGAGATAATATGTATATATATGTGTGTGTGTGTGTGTGTGTGTGTGTGTGTATTATGCCTCCACTGATGCTCAAACACTCAACCTCCCCACACAACAAAATCACGCTAGATTTAATTTTTTAAAAATAATTTTTTATCACTTCATTCCATGCTAATTTTGGTCGATTTATTTGTCTTTTACACTTTATGCAATACAATCTTCCTCTCCAAGTTAAGAAGTTTAACTTAACTTGTCGAGAAATTAACTAGAAATCATGGGAGGACTTTCTAAGTTATTTGTTAGGTCTTTTCTCTACCATGTCTACATTAGTTCCTAGGAGTTTTCATGTTTGCTTATGTGGGGAATGATTATTATTATTATTGTTATTATTATTATTATCCTTCATGTACACACCCTGACACCCTAACATATAAAATTAAGAGGGCTTTTAAGTAATTTGACCAATGTTTACTAGGGATGGCAAATTCCCCATCCCCGCCGGGGTCCCGCCCCGCCCCAGCCCGCCCCGTTTATAACGGGGATGGGGATCCTTTTAGCTAAACGGAGATGGGGATGGGGGCAATTTATCAATCCCCGCCAGGGGCGGGGATGGGGTAAACCCACCCCGCCCCTCCCCGATTAGGTGTAAAGTTACTAATATACCATTATATATAATAATTTATTACTAAATTAGATTTATTATATATATGAAAATAAGAAAAAATATGTTTTTTTAATTAAAAAAAAAATTAAGAGGTCGGGGCCGGGGGCGGGGCGGGGATGGGGATAAAGTGTAGGGGGCAGGGGCAGGTATGGGGATTCTGGCAAAATTTTAAGCGGGGATGGGGACGGAGAATGAAAAATGCATCGGGGATGGGGATGGGGAATGGAATCCCCGCCCCACCCCGCCCTGTTGCCATCCCTAATGTTTACTCATGAGAACACAAAGGTAGTTTCATTCCCATACAGGGGAATGGCCAAGGGAATATGCAAGCTACTATGGATAAGGAATTTAATGCATGACTTAGGTTTCGAACCGGTGAGTCCAATTAAGTTATATTGTGGTAATAAGGCAGCGTGTACAGTGCACATAATCCAGTCCAACATGATCGCACTAAACATGTTGAGGTGGATAGGCATGTTATAATGGAGAAATTGGAAGCAAAGCTTATAGAGGTTCCTCACGTGCGGTCTGAAGATCAGCATGCGGATGTACTCACCAATTAAGGTGGTGTCAAGTCAAGCATTTCATAGCTCTCTTTTCAAGTTGGACATGAACGATATCTATGCACAAACTTGAGGAGTGTCAAAATAGCTGTAAATTAAGCTAATTAATTAGAGTTGACTTTTGTTGTAAATCTTTCCTGTAATTGATAGGCTTCCTATAATTAGCGTAATTGATTCTATTAGGTTACTTGTTCTCCATGCTTGTAAATCAATATATATATATATATATATATATATATATATATATATACCTTTATTTGGAGAAGAGTACGTAAGATCATCAAAATATTAAACCCTGAAATTATTCTACAAGATATTGCACAAAGCATACACTCTTCCGACTTGAGTACTCATTCACACGAACTTTATATATAATTAAGTTTTGTTGAATGACAATATTACTGAATTTTTTATTTTAATACAGAGAAACTTGAACTAGATCATTATTTGTTCTCAAACGAAACAAATATTTAAACAAATTTTTTTCAACGAAAACACTTGCCCTATTTTTATTTTTTTATTTTTTTTATTTCTCCCATGATCGTGCCTCTATAGAACAAGTTGAAGAACATAAGAATTATAGACCTTACGACAAATTTAACCTTAGTTTTGGGTATGGTTTTTATGGATTCTAACCCAATAGGTGAAATAATAATTAAGCATGCATTTCGATGATTTGTTTCAGGGGCTAGCTAGTGCACTTTGGCAATGTAGATTTTGGAATGTATTTGTTTCAAAGGAAAACCATGCTAGGACAGTTCCCATTGGGGACATTCAATAAAATTGGAATGATATAGAGAAGATTAGCACGGCCCTGCGCAAGGATGACACGCACAAAAATTTTTGTTGTTTACTTGCGAAAAAAAAATTTGTACTTAACCAAAAAAAACCATGCTAGGACAGAAATATTTTCTGTGGAACATAGATATAGTTCACTGGGTGGAGGGAAAAATGTACATTTTTAAAGTCATTTCAGGTTCTACAAATTAAGAAGGCATTAATAAAAAAGAGAGAACAAAATTTTCAAAGACAAAGTGTGAATAATGTAACTGATGGTGGCTTTCCATGCTCACATAGTAAATACCCTCAATTGAGGTGCCCAAAATAGCAGAAGAAAGCTAATATGCAAAATTACAAAGACTTTTCACGAAAATTGGCATTCATTTCTTCGAATACACTTGCACATTTCCATAAATTTCCCATGAATTTGTAATCTTTCAAGTCATTTGATAATGAGGTTCATAATAACCCATGTATCTAGTAAGTTCTTAGCATTTTCACCTTCCACACTACGTCACATGACTTACTAACTCATGTATCTATAAGCCATTTTATTCTTTTACTAGATTTAAATTTTTTTTTTAAATCATTTTTTATCACTCTATGCAAACCAATCTTCCTCCAAGTTAAAATTATTTAATTTAACTGAAAATCTTAGGGGAACTTTCTAACTCTTTCGATTTTTTTTACGGTC